ATCAGAGAAACGGAAAACAAAACCACAATGAGGTTCTACCTCACCCCAGTTAAAATTGCTTTCATACAGAAATCAACAAACAGGGGCTGGCGCTGTGGCACAGTGGGTTAAAGCCCTGGCCTGAAGTGCTGGGATCCCATACGGGCAATGGTTCTAGTCCCAGCAGTTCCTCTTCCGATCCAGCTCGTAGACCCAGAAGAAGCTCCTGGCTTCAGATCAGCGCACCTTTGGTCATTGCAGCCATCTGGGGAGTGAACCAGCAGATGGGAAGACCCCTCTCTCTGTTTCTACCTCTCTGTAACTCTTACAAATAAATAAATCTTTAGGCCGGCGCCGTGGCTCAATAGGCTAATCCTCCACCTTGCGGCGCCGGCACACCGGGTTCTAGTCCTGGTTGGGGCGCCGGATTCTGTCCCGGTTGCTCCTCTTCCAGGCCAGCTCTCTGCTATGGCCAGGGAGTGCAGTGGAGGATGGCCCAGGTGCTTGGGCCCTGCACCCCATGGGAGACCAGGAAAAGCACCTGGCTCCTGGCTCCTGCCATTGGATCAGCGCGGTGCGCCGGCTGCAGCGGCGGCCATTGGAGGGTGAACCAACGGCAAAGGAAGACCTTTCTCTCTCTCTCTCTCTCACTGTCCACTCTGCCTGTCAAAAAAAAATAAATAAAAAAAAAAACTTAAAAAAAAACTTAAAAAAAAATAAATAAAATAAATAAATCTTTAAAGAAAAAAAAGAAATCAACAAAGAACAAATGCTGGCGAGGATGTAGGGAAAAAAAGACACTAATCCATTGTTGGTAGGAATGTAAACTTGTAAACCACTATGGAAATCAGTTTGGAGATACGTCAGAAATCTGAATTTAGACCTACCAGATGACCCTTCCGTCCTACTCCTGGGAATTTACCCAAGAGAAATGAAATCAGTAAATAAAATAGTTATCTGCACCTCCATGTTTATTGCAGCTCAATTCACAATAGTTAAGACATGGAATCAACCTAAATTCCCATCAACTGAAGACTGAATAAAGAAATTATGGGATATGTACTCTATAGAATAGTACACAGTGATTAAAAATCCAGGCATTTGCAACAAAATGGATGAATCTAGAAAACATCATACTTAGAGAAATAAGCCAGTTCCCAAGGGACAAATACAACATGTTCTCCCTGATCTGTGATAACTAACAGAGTACCTAAAAGGAAATATGTGTAAGTGAAATTGACACTTTGAGAATCAATGACTTAAACAGCCCTTGTCTTGGCTGTTGAGGAAGGTTTTTTTTTTTCTCCTCCATATTATTTTTGTTTTAACTCTTTACTTAGCATAGAGTTAATCACACATGTATAAAGTCAACTGAAAATAGATCTCAGTAGAAAAATAAGAGTGGGAATAAGAGAGGGAGGAGAAGTTTGTAACTGTAAAGTTGTGTAGTTCTGTATACATTCCTACAGACTTACTTCTAAGGTCACAGTTTAAAAACTTGCCATGGGGGGCCAGCACCGTGGCTCATTCAGTTAATCCTCCACTTGCGGTGCCCGCATCCCATATGGGCACCGGGTTCTAGTCCCGGTTGCTCCTCTTACAGTCCAGCTCTCTGCTGTTGCCTGGGAAGGCAGTAGAGGATGGCTCAAGTTCTTGGGCCCCTGCACCCACGTGGGAGACCAGGAGGAAGCACCTGGCTCCTGGCTTCGGATCAGTGTAGTTCCGGCTGTAGCGGCCATTTGGCGGGAGAGCCAACGGAAGGAAGACCTTTCTCTCTCTCTCTCTGGCTAACTCTGTCAAATAAAAAAAAAAAAAAAAAACTTGCCATGGGATCACAAATCTCATTAAGCTGGGTGCTGGGCAGTCAATATGCCATCTTAAGTGTTAAAGTGATCATTTAGATAGGATTAAGTTTTAAAGGGATCATAAAAATAAGATCAAATGTGTGCTAATAATAAGAGAAAGAATTAAAAAGGAGAGAATATTCCAACATGGGAAGCAGTCCACACAGCAAACTCATGACAATCGCCTTAAGCAGCACTATGAGCTCAGAATCAGCCCTTAGGGCATTCTGGTCTGGCTGAAAAGCCCATGAGAACATTCCAAGCATGGAAAGTCAAGACACTGTAGCAAAAAAAAAAAAGTTTTACATGAAGGATCTCTGTGAGAGAGAACCCAGTGGAATGAAGTGGTTATCAAAGAATGATGTACTTTTCTCTGAAGGGAGGAGAGAACTTCCACTTTGCCTGTGGCCTTGTCTAAATACTGATGGAGACTGTGGATTCAAGACTTCCACAGCCTTGGCAGCTCATGTCAAGAGCCTCGGGTGATCACTGACATCATACTTAAGAGTGTTAATTGTCAAACCCAGGAATCACTGTGCACTTACTTCCCATGCAGGACTTCTGTCTTCAATGAGTTGTTTTATGAAAATTAACTGTGAAACTTGTTTCTCAATTTGTGTTTGTGTGTGTATGTATGTGCAAACTGTTGAAATCTTTACTTAGTACAGAGTTGGTCTTCTGTGTATAAAGTTAATTGAAAACGAATCTTAATGGAAAATGGGACTGGGAATGGAGAGGGAGGAGAAGGAAGGGGGGGGTATGGCAGAAGAATCACTATATTCCTAAAGTTGTACTTATGAAATATGTACTCATTAAAAAAAGATATCTGGCCAGCACTGCGGCTCAATAGGCTAATCCTCCACCTGCGGAGCAGGCACCTCAGATTCTAGTCCCAGTTGGGGCGCCAGATTCTGTCCCAGTTGCTCTTCTTCCAGTCTAGCTCTCTGCTGTGGCCCAGGAGGGCAGTGGAGGATGGCCCAAGTCCTTGGGCCCTGCACCTGCATGGGAGACCAGGAGAAGCACCTGGCTCCTGGCTTCGGATCAGTGCTGTGTGCAGGCCTCAGCATGCCAGCCACAGCGGCCACTGAGGGGGTGAACCAACAGAAAAAGAAAGACCTTTCTGTCTCTCTCTCTCTCTCTCTCACTGTCCACTCTGCCTGTCAAAAAAAAAAAAAAGATATCTTTGGGGAAAAAATAAAATAAATGGGGTGTGGAGTATATGGAAACTCGTGTCTTTGTAAATTTTCTTAAATTATTTCTAAATAAAAAATTTTTCAAAAAAATACTCAGAAAACTTGATAAAGGATATATACCAAAATTATACAGAAATATTACACATAATACTTTACCAGTGAACTAATGGCTAAAGTAGTGAATTACGCAAGCATAGATCTAAGAATGACAGAAGAACCTGCAAGGAAACAAAGGGGAAAAAAAAAAAACAAAACAGGGATCTAGGACCAGAGGTAAGGTCAAGGAGTTAGAGCAGGAACAAGGTGGGAGATACAAAATCTCTCATCTGATCCACTTTCCTCTAACCTTCCCTCTCTTAGTTCACCTTTAAATCCCTTTCAGATTGATTTCCTGATGGCATGACTCTTATTCTATCATTACTTGCTATTCACAGATCAAAGAGGTAGCAGTTAAATCAGTGAACTAGGGCTTATTTTAAAGTTCCCTAATGTTTACAAAATCTACCTAAAATTCCTTGGGCATTCAATAGTCTTCCCTGCCTTGGCATCAACCTAAATCACCTACCTCCCCTAATACATCCAGCAAGACCACGGACCACTCCACCAAGCATGTAACTCAGCTCCCACTATTGCTTGAGTGGTGTGTCCCTTACAGTCACCCAATTTAGCAGAAAAATCACGAAAATGTTCAGTTAGATTTGGAATTCAGATAATTTTTTTATTATGTCTCATGGAAAAATTTGTATTTATCTGGCAATTCCATCTTCTACCCATAACACATGTGAATATCTCATCCATTCTTACAGGTCACATTCATACGTCAATTTCATCACAAAGTCTTTCTCAATTTCTTCTAAAGTGTACTCCTTCTTTCAATCAACAAAAATTTATGCTAAGTTCTAGGGTAAAAACTGTAAACAAGCTCAAGGCTGGTGCTGTGGCGTAGCAGGTAAAGCTGCCACTGCAGCACCCTTCTATAGGCATCACTTCAAGTTCTGACTGCTCCACTTCCAATCCAGCTCCCTGCTAATGCGCCTGGAAAGCAGTGAAAAGACGGCCCAAGTACTTGAGCCCCTTCACCCACTTGGAAGACCTGGAAGAAGCTCCTGGCTTAGGATCAGCTCAGCTCTGGCCACTGCAGCTATTTGGGGAGTGAACCAGTGGATAAGAGACATCTCTCTCTGTCTCTCTCTCTAACGCTGCCTTTCAAATAAATAAAGCTTATGGGTGGGGGGAAGGGGACGATGCTGTGGTATAGTGGGTAAACCTGCCACCTGCAGTGCCAGCATCCCATAGGGGCACCCGTTCCAGTTTGAGTCCTGGCTGCTCAACTTCCTATCCAGCTCTCTGCTATGGCCTGGGAAAGCAGCAGAAGATGGCCCAAGTCCTTGGGCCCCTGCCCCCTCATGGGAGACCCAGAGGAAGTTCCTGGCTCCTGGCTTTGGATCAGCACAGCTCCGGCTATTACAACCAGCTCAGGAGTGAACCAGTGGATGGAAGATCTCTTTCTCTCTCTCTGCCTCTCTGTAACTCTGCCTTTTAAATAAATAAATCTTAAAAAAAAAAAATCACTTTTTTTAAAAAACCAAAAAGCACCATGAGGAAGCTATAGTCTCTATTTTCCATGTACTTACAGGCTAGAGAAGTAGAAAACTTTAAGTATACAGTTACAATAAAGAAATACAATGTGCCATGTGAACAAAAAGGAGGCACACATTTTCTTAACTATACTATGGATCCTTATCCAAACTTCTTGGGGGGAAAAAAATAAGTTACGCTCAATGAATGAAATTTCTTCAAAAAACTACATAGACTTTCTGGAATGTTTTGGCTTGATTTGATAAAGATACCATTTAGCCAACTTTTTTAAAAAAGAATGTCTTTAATGTAATGGAAAGATAATGATGATGCAAAGATCATTATTTTCGACAGATTAAAATGGCACTAGAATTGTCTACACTCTATAAAAGAAGAAAAAGCTTACCACATGTTGAGCAACTATCAATGCTGCTAATGTACTTCGCCCTGGTGCTCCTGGGGCACAGAAGGAAACATGGACTTTGCTTCCCTTGATGGTCATACCATCTGCTGCTCTCTGAACCTCCTCAGCTTGCTCTGCCGTGCTATATTCAACCACTGCAAAGTCACCAACGTAACTACCTTCATCCTGTGCAAGCTGATGCAACACATTTTATTAAAAGGGAATTCTGATACTTACTTGGAAACATTTATTTACAATACATAATCTTCAAATTCATGAACAAATGTTATCACAGCATGATAATGGTGAAAATTACATATTCTATGAAAACATTTACTAGTTGCTTAAACAGTCTTTGCTCAAGAAAGGAAGATTAAGAATTGGGTCAAGTTTCTTTTCAATTCTTTGATTTTCTCATTTATTTATTTTAACAGTCAAAGCCCCAAATGATAATAGTCCCTACGTATTTAAAGACAATAAACTGGAAATTATAGGAATATGAGGCAAAAATTAAAGCTTTCTTTAAAAATTCATCAGCTACACAAAGCAATGAATCATGCCAAATAATTACTGGACCACGTATCAGTATAAAATAAAGTTAGCTTTATCAAAAGAAAAAAGGTAAAAGCAATCATATTCAACTTTTATTTCAATATTTTATGTTGATTCTAGAAATTAGGTCAAATACACCAAAACAAATCCTATTTAGGAAAACTGTTCCACAAGTTTATAAGAATACCAAATGCAACACATAACCTTTATTTCTGAATATGAACCTACGTAAACTCCTACCATGCATAACTCAATTTACTTTTAGTTAATCTCCTCTAAAGAGTGTCAAGGAAAACACTGAAGTTCTGGGTGTATAAAGACTGATACAAAGGGCAAAAATAAAAATAAGACACTAAAATGTTTTTAAGCTTTGAATATGTATGAATTATGAATTATCTTAAATACAATCACACTATAAAATGGTAAATGTGACAAAATTCAGCTTGACAATGTCTTTTTGTTGTGGTTAATTTTATTTGAAAGAGAGTTACAGAGAGAGGGAGAGACAGACAGAGACAGAGAGAGAGAGAGAACTTCTGTTCCCTGGTTCACTCCCCAAATGGCCACAATAAACATGTTTACAATACATATTGGCTTTGGGATCTCTTAAGTTAATATAAACAGTCTTCAAAAAGTTCATGGAAATGTGCTTTGTAAGAAATACATGGACTTTGAGATTTTTGAACCAAAACAAACATCATTTTAGCCTATTTTTCTATTTTTCTGTTTTGTTCACATGGAGGTGCACCCAGAACTAGAACCTGGCACCCATATGGGATGCTGGCGCCACAGGTGGAGGATTAACCGAGTGAGCCATGGCACCGGCCCCTCTTCTGCTTTCTTAGATAGAAATTTCTATTTTTTTCTTCTTGTTCTCCCCTTACAAACTGTCCTCAAAAAAAACCTTCTCTATAAAACTTTTTCCAGCCGGTGCCATGGCTCAATAGGGTAATCCTCGCCTGCAGGGCCGGCACCTCAGGTTCTAGTCCCGGTTGGGGCACCGGATTCTGTCCCGGTTGCAGCTTTACCCGCTATGCCACAGTGCTAGCCCCAAGATGGAAGATCTTTTTCTCTCCCTCTTTCACTCTCTCAATAAATAAAACAAATCTTGGAGGGAAAATATATATTTAATTTCAGTTAAATAGTAAATTTAAGGAGTCTGTTGTACAACATGACTATAGTTAACATACTGTAGTTTTAAAAAATCCAAGAGATGTTAAGTGTTCTCGCCATAAAAATAACTACATAATACATGTCAATCAGCTAAATTAAATTGTTCTACAATGTAAAAGCATATATGCTTCAAAACATGTTTTACTTAATAAATACACTTTATATGTCAATTTAAAAATAAACACACATACACACTCCAATTCCAAAATTTCTACTGCAATAGTAGCAACTCAACAAATGTATGCTTAAAGAAAAAAAGAAAGGGAGCCAGTGTCCTGGTTTAGTGAGTAAAGCCATTGCCTAGACACCAGCATCACACATGGGCACCTCTTTCAGTCTCAGCTCCTCCACTTACAATGCAGCTCCCTGCTAATGCACCTGGGAAAAGCAGCAGAGGATGGCCCAAGTGCCTGGGCCCCTTTACCCACAAGGAGACCTGAAAGAAACTCCTGGCTCTGGTCTGACCCAGCCCTGGCCACTGTGGCCATTTGTAGAGTAAACCAGCAGATGGGAGATCTGTCTCTTCCTCTCTCTCTGTAACTTTGCCTTTCAAATAAATAAATCTTTTTTTTTTTTTTTTAAAGAAAGGATGGGCCAGCACTGTGTCACAGTAGGTTAAGCCTCCATCTGTCATGCCAGCATCCCATATGAGTGCCAGTTTGTGTCCTGTTTGCTCCTCTTCTGATCCAGCTCCCAGCTAATGTGCCTGGGAAAGCAGTAGAAGACGGTCAAGTGCTTATGCCCCTGCATCCACAGGGAGACCTGGAGGATACCCCAAGTGCCTGGTTTCAGACCAGACCAGCTCCTGGGATTGCAGCCATTTGAGGAATGAACCAGCAGGTGAATACCTCTCTGTAACTCTGCCTTTCAAATAAATAAATAAATCTTAAAAAAAAAAAAAAGATTCATTTTAAAAAAATCTTTAAAGAAAAAAGTAGGAAGAGGAAGGAGAAGAGTGGTAAGAAGAGATGGAACGGGGCCGGCGCTGTGGCATAGCAGGCAAAGCTGCCGCCTGCAGTGCTGGCACCCCAAAAGGCACTGGTTCTAGTTCCAGTTGCTGCACTTCCAATCCAGCTGTCTGCTATGGCCTGGGAAAGCAGTAGAAGATAGCCCAAGTCCTTGGGCCCCTGCACCCGCATTGAGACCCAAAAGAAGCTCCTGGCTCCTGGCTTTGAAACAGCGCAGCTCCAGCCATTGTGGCCATCTGGGGATTGAACTAGCGAATGGAAGACCTCTCTCTCTGTAACTCTTTCAAATAAATAAAATAAATCTAAAAAATAAAAATAAAAAAGGGCCGGTGCCGCAGCTCACTAGGCTAATTCTCCACCTTGCGGCGCTGGCACACCGGGTTCTAGTCCCGTTCAGGGCGCCGGATTCTGTCCCGGTTGCCCCTCTTCCAGACCAGCTCTCTGCTGTGGCCAGCGAGTGCAGTGGAGGATGGCCCAAGTCCTTGGGCCCTGCACCCGTGTAGAGACCAGGATAAGTACCTGGCTCCTGCCATCGGATCAGCGGGGTGCGCCGGCCGCGGCGGCCATTGGAGGGTGAACCAACGGCAAAGGAAGACCTTTCTCTCTGTCTCTCTCTCTCTCACTGTCCTCTCTGCCTGTCAAAAAATAAATAAATAAAATAAAATAGAAGAGATGGGACATGGAAGAGAAGAGAAAGTAGTTAAAGGAAAAAGAGCAAAGAAATAAAAGAAGGCAAAGAATTGATTTGCTATCAAAAATCTGTAAGAAGGGTATTTTTAATATAGTATATTTTATTTACTTATTAGAATACATTTAATTTTATTATTATGATAGGGTAATTCAAATTTCTTACCAGTGTTATCCGTTTTCAGGATCTTCTGTCTCACCTACTACAACTCCATTAAAATAGAAACTCTGCATTCTTTTCAATACTTTTTTATTCTCCATTGTTATCACTCTTCATAAAGGATTTGCAAATATTTACATACTTCTCAGTCTGCTCTACCAAATTTTAAGAAATTGAAATACATTCTATCCATATTTCTCATACTTAACATAGTGCCTGCACAGAAAAGGTGTTAAATAATCTGTACAGATGAATGGAACAAATGAATGAAATAAGAAAGTGAATGAATAAGCTAAGGTTTACTTAACTATGTAACAATATAGTCTGGCCCATTAACAGAAGGAATTCATTTAAAATTCCCCATGAGATTAAAGTCTTTATTACAGACTAAACCAGAATTAAATTATTAATTGTGATAGTCAGACATAAAAAACATATTTTGAATTCATGTAAAATAAACATATATGCACATATTTTAAATATTTCTAACAATCTCTTCAAAATACTTACCTGGCAAAACACAGGTTTATGGACACTGGAAAAATATTGCAACAACTCTTCTGAATCCGTGTAGTCACCAGGGAGTTTATCTACACAAAGGCACTTAGAATGAATGAGCTCTGAGGCCAATAGGTTAACATCCATCCATTGTGCAAAGAGTGCTGATTCCCCTAACTGTTTACCCAATAGATCCAATCTAGCCTTTGCAGCAAAGTCCTTTTTCATGTATTCCACAAATCCATAGCCTTTGGAATGGCCAGTAATTTCACTGTAGATCAGAAAACATCTTTCAACATTTCCATAACCACCAACAAGTTCTTCAAACTCTTCTAATGTAAAAGAAATGGGCAGGTTGGTAATACACAGCAAAGCATCTGTTGGCTGGAGCTGGACTATCAAGTCTTTTCCTCGAAAAGAATATTGATGAAACATCTGAATTGCTTTCTGGGCTTGTTCCCCATTCAATAAGGTAACAAAAGCTGGAAGATAATAACATGAATTGAAGTTTTCTAGAGCAATATTTTTATTTATTTTTAATGTGACTCACATAAAAAAGCATACTCCACGTTTGTGAATCAGTATAAAAACTCACACTTATCTAAAATCAAATAATTATAAAGTGATACTCTACTATATGCAAGCACTCTGATGTTCTCTAATGCTGACACCTCCAACAAACTAATTCCATGACTTACTACTTAAGAATAATATTAAAGGTTCTATTTAAGACTTTTATAGGCTGGGACCGGCGCTATGGCACAGCAGGTTAAAGGCCTGCCTTGCAGTACCAGAATCCCATACGGGCACCAGTTCAGTCCCAGCTGCTCCACTTCCAATCCAGCTCTCTGCTAAGGCCTGGGAAGGCAGTAGGAGGATGGCCCAAGTCCTTGGGCCTTTGCACCCACGTGAGAGACCCAGAAGCTCCTGTTCCTGGTTTTGGATCGGCGCAGCTCTGACCACTACGGCCAACTGAGGAGTGAACCAGTAGATGGAGGACTTCTCTCTCCTGGCTCTACCTCTCTCTGTAACTCTTTCAAATAAATAAGAATAAATCTTTTTAAAAAATGCATTGAATTCTATGCAAAACAAAAAGATTTTTATATGCCAAAGCTTTTTTGATAATCTTTTCTAACTACAAACAGATTTGATTTTCCCCCAATGTGATAAAAAATTTTATGAAGCCTTTATAAAAAACCTTGCCTGAAACAGAGTGAGGTTATAAAATCTTTCTTCTCAGAGTTCTGTAAAGCTCCCTTGATAGCTAAAATAAATGAGGCTGGTGCCGCGGCTCACTAGGCTAATCCTCTGCCTTGCGGCGCCGGATTTTGTCCCGGTCGCCCCTCTTCCAGGCCAGCTCTCTGCTGTGGCCCAGGAGTGCAGTGGAGGATGGCCCAAGTGCTTGGGCCCTGCACCTGCAAGGAAGACCAGGAGAAACAGCTGGCTCCTGCCTTCGGATCAGCGTGATGCGCCAGCCGCGGCGGCCATTGGAGGGTGAACCAATGGCAAAAGGAAGACCTTACTCTCTGTCTCTCTCTCTCACTGTCCACTCTGCCTGTCAAAAAAAATAAAATAAAAGATAAACAGACATCAAAATGTCCAATTGATGTCAATTCCCTAATTCATGTACATATACATACATATATATAATTTGGTTTTCTTTTTAGAAAAAAATATCAAATGAAAAATATGACTCCGACCGGCGCCACAGCTCAATAGGCTAATCCTCCGCCTGCAGCACAAGCACCCCGGGTTCTAGTCCCGATCGGGGCGCCAGATTCTGTCCCGGTTGCCCCTCTTCCAGGCCAGCTCTCTGCTGTGGCCCAGGAGTGCAGTGGAGAATGGCCCAGGTCCTTGGGCCCTGCACCCGCATGGGAGACCAGGAAAAGCACTGGTTCCTGGCTTCGGAACAGCATGGTGCACTGGCCGCAGGAGCCATTGGGGGATGAACCAACGGAAAAAGGAAAACCTTTCTCTTTCTCTCTCTCTCACTGTCCACTCTGCCAGAGAGAGAGAGAGAGAGAGAGAGAGAGAGAGAGAGAGAGAGAGAAAGGAAGGAAGGAAGGAAGGAAGGAAGGAAGGAAGGAAGGAAGGAAAAGAGGGAGGGAGGGAGGGAGAGGAAAGGAAGGAAGGAAAGGAAGGAAAGGAAGGAAGGAAGGAAGGATGGATTCCAACTTTAGACAAGTGGCTTAACTTTAAATCTTTGTTAAGTAAGAACTGTCTCTTCACATATCTACCTAATGAAGCTGCTCTAACATCAAACAAATATACATACGATAATACAGAGAATTAACAACATGATACAATATAAGGTTGTGGGGCCTGCACTGTGGCGCAGCAGGTTAACATACTGCCCCTAAGCACCAGCATCCCATATGGGCACTGGTTTGAGACTCAGCTGCTTCACTTCCGATCCCTCCCTCTGCTATGCCCTGGGAAAGCAGTACAAGATGGCCCAAGTCCTTGGGCCCCTGCACCCACGTGGGAGACCTGGAAGAAGCTCCTGGCTCCTGGCTTCGGATCAGTGCAGCTCCGGCCATTGTGCTCAACTGGGGAGTGAACCAGCGGATGGAAGGCCTACCTACCTACCTACCTCTCTCTCTCTCTCACTGCCTCTCCTTTCTCTGTATAACTCTTTCAAATAAATAAATCTTTAAAAAATATATATAAGGTTGTAAAATGAATATCCTATATATTCACATCTGTCAAGCTGTTCCTCTTCCGATCCAGCTCTCTGCTATGGCCTGGGAAAGCAATTAAAGATGGCCCAAGACCCTGGGCCCCTGCACCCAGGTGGAAGACCCAGAAGAAGCTCTTGGCTCCTGGCTTCGGTTTGGCACAGCTCCGGCAGCTGTGGGAGTGAACCATCGGATGGAAGACCCCTCTCTCTCTCTCTGCCTCTCCTCTGTGTAACTCTTTCAAATAAATAAATAAATCTTTAAAAAATAAATATAAAGAGTTATAAGTTGAAAACTTTGTTATCATAAGTTTAAGATTTTTAAGGTAAGTTTTATAACAAAGAATTTTAAAAGGTTTTAAGTTCAAAAACTGATGTGAAAAAGGCAAACTATAAATTACAAATAAATTACTCTATTTTTATTTTATTTTTTGACAGGCAGAGTGGACAGTGAGAGAGAGAGAGACAGAGAGAAAGGTCTTCCTTTGCCGTTGGTTCACCCTCCAATGGCTGCCGCAGCCGGCCCGCTGTGGCCGGAGCACCTCACTGATCCGATGGCAGGAGCCAGGTGTTTCTCCTGGTCTCCCACGGGGTGCAGGGCCCAAGCACTTGGGCCACAGCAGAGAGCTGGACTGGAAGAGGGGCAACCGGGACAGAATCCGGCGCCCCGACCGGGACTAGAACCTGGTGTGCCGGCGCTGCAAGGCGGAGGATTAGCTTAGTGAGCCGCAGCGCCAGACAACAAATAAATTACTCTAAAAGCTCCTCCTTCTCCCTCTTTGGAACCTATAGTGAAGTTGCTCTGAGCATTAATATACAAAAACTCAAAAAGAACAAAATGGCAGGATCTTGTACACACAATCTTCAAAAGTTCACAAAAAATGCTTACTAGGAAAACTATACATGGATTTAAAAAATTTTGGCACCATAATAAACTAGTTTTAATTCCATCTTTCCACAAACCTTTTAAAGTATGTATTTAGCGAAGAAGAAAGGGTTTAAACAGCATAGAGAATTCTGCCTGTCATTTCACTCAATCTGTTCTTTCCTCAGTTCACCTCAATGCACATGTGATTCTCAGTGTGAGCATCTCACTGCACTGAGTGTGAATGCTAAGCATTTGAAGAAACACATCTTTCCATGGTCTCTACATGTAAGAAAACTACTGCCAAAGGAACAGTTAATTCTTCTCAACTCTAGAGAGAAAAATGACTTTGCCACTGTATGGAGAGAATATGCCTTTATTTTCAAAACCCTTTCTAAAAGGCTTATTTTGATTCTATGCTCTTTCTAAAAGGCTTATTTTGATTCTATGCCCTTTTTTCCTTATTTAATATACCATTTAATTTTCCTAAATCAAGCCAACAATTGTTTGTAAACACTGACTATGTTCCTATTATCAAATCATGAGTTCATATTTGACTTGAATTCTTGGTACAGTGAAGTTTATTCATCCCCTTTCTTAACTTCTGTGATGTGCTGTTTTCTGATGCTTCCCGTACCTGTAAAAATATTCCTCCCATTTCCTTCGCTGGATCTTTCTCTACCGTTCACACTTTCTAGGTGGCACTTGTTAAGGCCATCCTGACAGATTTGTACACAGTAACACCTCTGTGGTTGTACCTGACAGTTCCCAGCCACTTAATTTCTCCTCTTTCACCTACACCTTCTTCCCCTGGGGGAATCTAATCCAATCCCAAATACCTGGGGAGGGGGCAGGTATAAAGTGAACAATGAATCACCACTGCTCTGAAATCTTCTACTTACACATGTCATTTCCACTATTATTTCACTTGTCAAAAAAATAAATCATGTGTCTAGTCTAAATTAAAAGAGGAGAAAGAGGCCAGGCATTATTAGGCACAGTGGTTAAAAGCTACTTGGGACACCCACATCCCACATCAGAGTGCCTGGGCACAAGTCCAAGCTCTGCTTTCCATTCCAGCTTCCTGTTAATGCGCACCATAAGAGGCAGCAGACCACGGCTCAATTAATTGGATCCATGCTACCCACATGGGAGACCTGGATCGAGTTCTGCCAGGCTCTTGTTTTTGGTGTGGCCCAGGCCTGGCTACTGCAGACATGTGGAGAATGAACCACGGATAGAAGATTTTTGTCTCTCTGCCTTTCAAATAAAATGAAAATAAATAAACACAAATTAAGATTTAAAAAAGAGGGGAGACCAAGCAAGTACTATCTTACCTCATGCCCAGAAGAAAAAGAATTTGTGAACAGCTTTAATGACTACTATGACATAATGGCACAGATTGAAAAGTATGCACCATGCACATTAAGTGCTTACCCCTAGGTAAGTAGGGTAGGAAGAAGCAAAATCAGAAAATAGCATAAACTAGACTTTATCTTTATCCATAATGGTTCTTAACTATTTTTTTAGTATCTAGGAAAAAATAATAATCCCAAAAATACTTATGGAGGTTCTAGCATGTATATATTTTTAAAATACAAGATATAAACATTTGTTAGTTTGGGAGTTATGTATAACAATCATTTTCTTCCAAACTTAATTACAGCAAAAAAAAAAGTTTTTGAACACTTACATATTACATATACACAAAGGAATAATAATCTAGCTTAATGAAGTTAGTCCTAATTTTACCAACTTAAGGTCAAATCAGAGAATATTCACTAAATCCAATCACATATTATTAAAACCGAGGAACATCAATTCTATGAAGAATACTATGACAGATAGCATTAGAACATTCAGTATAAAAAATCCTAAGTGTCTGGCAACAACATATTTATGTGGTTAAAATTTAGCATACTAATATTACTTTCAGAAAATAAATTGTGTGACATTTATATGATTTCATACCAAAGAATTTCACAGATTAGCTTAAGCATGGAAAGAGAGTAACTTTTTTTCTAAAATGGCTTTATGCAGAATCACAACAAAGGTGGATGCTTAGAAGTAAAACCTTACCTGTTCGTTTATTTCTGTCCACATAACAGTACTTTAACTCATAGTCTTTCAACAAATCATGAATTTCCTAAAAGAGACAAAACCATGAATTCAATAAGCACACAGAGTTCACAGATGATACAACTCCTTTAGTTTACCACCACTATCACCATCACGACCTCCAGGCTCCATGTGAAAAATAATCTTCCATGGATTCCCCAATTATTTATTTAAAGTAAAGGCATACCTAGGTATAGTATTAGCCTACCACTCCAAATTTATCTCCTGCTATACATCTATTCATAGCACATATTCCTGCTCAAACAGAATATTTATTATCTCATAAGCAAACTATGCACTGATCTGACTCTGCATGTCTGTTCACAATTATACATTGACCTATAATAGAGCAAAATATCACTCAAGTTCCTAAACTCTGAAATCATATATAGCCTTTGAAATCCCACCTCAAATGTTTGTTCATGAAGGTTTGTTGTTGTTTTTTTTTTTTTTTTTTTTGACAGGCAGAGTGGACAGTGAGAGAGAGAGACAGAGAGAAAGGTTTTCCTTTGCCATTGGTTCACCCTCCAATGGCCGCCACGGCTGGCACGCTGCGGCCGGCGCACCGTGCTGATCCGAAGGCAGGAGCCAGGTACTTCTCCTGGTCTCCCATGGGGTGCAGGGCCCAAGCACTTGGGCCATCCTCCACTGCACTCCTGGGCCACAGCAGAGAGCTGGCCTGGAAGAGGAGCAACCGGGACAGAATCCGGTGCCCTGACCGGGACTAGAACCCGGTGTGCCGGCGCCACAAGGCGGAGGATTAGCCTAGTGAGCCGTGGCGCCCGCCCTGTTCATGAAAATTTTATGATAATTTTTCACATAATGTAACCTCAGCTTCCTTTATGCAAACTTTGGTCCTAACCTTATTTATGCTTCCAAGTATACTTGCTGCTATTACTGTGTACCATATACTGAACTTGTATATACCTGTATATTGTAGGTAGCACAAACAGGAAGAAAAATATGAAGATTGTAAACTTTAACTTAGAGATTCCTAAATATTAAAAAACACCTAAAAACTACCAAGATATAGCATGTACTTCAATTTCTTTTCCCTTGGCTTCCCAACACATCTAAACTGGCTTCTGGCTTGTTTAGTTTTTATTACTAGTCCAGCCTACACTTTTTTTTTTTTTTTTTTTTGATAGCACAACTTCTATTCACTTGGAAGCCTCAAACAGTAGATTTCTTCCTTTTTTTCCTAATTTCTCCTGTTAAACTGACAGAACTGGAATACAGGAATTTTATATTTTTATATATTACCTGTCTTACTTTGCATATCATAGCCATTCAAATCTACATCAAAGTGAATATAACTTGTTTTGTCATTAAATTGACATGTGGCCTTGAAAAGCTTACTCATAATACACAACACTATCTGATCCCAGACTAGAAAGTTACAGCCAACCAGTTCTATATTGCAAATCAATAAGCTAAACATACACAAGTGCTAGTATGTAAAGAATATAACCTAAAATTCACAAATCAGTAGGAAGTATTAATACTGCTATTATTATGGTTAAAATCTATTTAGCTTTTAGTAGTTACGAGGCACCAAATTCACTTCTTTATTAAAAATTAAGAGAGCAGAGCAGAACGAAGTTGCTGAATGGTGATTCACACTATTGGTCTGGGTCTGAGGACCACACTTTTAACTTCCATGCCATATTGCTTACTCCTTCCAGTACTATCTTTAAAAACAATACACCAACCACCATTACAGTTACAAAAAAATACTGCCACTAGTGTCATAATTTGTAGTCATAAGAGCAATGTAGAAATGGAAAATAAAGGAGAATATATATATATCACATATATTTCCCCTGTTAACCCAGTGCAAGAGGGAAAACAGATTGCTATAACAGGGAAAGTATAAAAAGTAAAGCTGAGCAAATAACCAGTTGATGCTTTAGCATTCCTTATTAGTAAGCTGTATCAGAAATGTTTTAAAATACATATTTATGAATTTTAAAAAGTTCGCTGAATCATGTTACTAGAGTCAATATAAAAGTTGATAATATTACTATAGAAATTTTTCTTACAAGATAGCTTTTTTGACTTACACAAATATCTTGTTCTTTATTAAGAAAAAAATCTCTCGGGGGCGGCGCTGTGTAACACCCTGGCCTGAATCGCCGGCATCCCCTATGGGTGCCAGTTCTAGTCCCAGCTGCTCCTCTTCCAATCCAGCTCTCTGCTATATGGCCCGAGTCCCTGGGCCCCTGCACCCAAGTGGGAGACCTGGAAGAAGCTCCTGGCTTCGGATTGGTACAGCTCCAGCCCTTGAGGCCATCTGGGGAGTGAACCAGCAGATGGAAGACCTCTCTGTCTCTACCTCTCTCTGTAACTCTTTCAAATAAATAAAATAAATCTTAAAAAAAGAGAAAAGAAAAAAAAAACTATCATAAACACATCTTAACAATTATTGTAATACTTCATCTAGATGGTGACATGGTTTCTATTTTTGAAGGAATCCTGTATGTCCATTTAGTTGAACAGAATCTTATCTTTCATTTCATTACCAACCATCAAGATGACATGATACAACTCTTCACATTATCAAGTATCCATACGTAAGTATTCAAATACGTATTTTTGAAACTTTAAAATTTTACTTTGCAAACATTCATATTTCTAATCATAGATGTGGGATGCAGACTTTGCCAAGGGAAACAAAACTTCCTAAAAAAAAAAAAAAAACACTGATTACTTTCCCCCACACCCTGGTTGTTGTGACCCAGGCAAAAGTAGGTCAACTCTAAATTTGAGCCTCCATAAGTTGGTCAAACTAAGCACTTGAAGCCTGAAAGAGTTCTGTAACTATTTGCCAAAATTCTACCACACTCTACTACAAAAAAGTGAAAGGACCAAGATGACAGTTTCCCATATTAATCTAGTTTTATCACATTTCCACTAATTTACAAACCAACTTTAAAGTAGCATCTTTAGGGGCCAGCATTGTGGCACAGCAGGAAAAGCCACCACCTGTGACACTGGCAGCCTATATGGGCACCAGTTTGAGTCCCGGCTGCTTCACTTCTAATCCACAGCCCTGCTAATGCACCCGGGAAAGCAGTGGAAGATGGCCCAAGTCTCTGGGCCCCTGCACCCACAAGGGAGACCCAGAAGAAGCTCCCAGCTTCGGCCTGGACCAGCCCTGGTTGTTGTAGCCACTTGGGAGAGTGAACCAGCAGATGGATGATCAATCTCTCTCCTTCTAGTTCTACCTTTCTAATTAATTAATTTAAAAAAAACATGGCTGAAGACTCAGCACACCCGCACCTCATCATACAGCTAAGCTTAATTTTCTATCATGCACCAGGTGCCAGAAAACCTTCCTGGAGATCACATCTGCTGCAGCCCCACTTCAGGCCCTGCCCCAAGCACTACCCTTCCCCCCCCCCCAAAAAAAAGGATAATCCCAGTCTAGGTGGGGGCAATTCTCCCTCATAAGGTTTGCTTTTCAATAAATCCTTCTTTGCTGCTCACCTTTAAACAGTTTATTTGACTAAATACTTCATTTTCTGATCAGCAATTACCAATAATTTTCTTACAGCAGGACATTTATCTAAACTGGTATCAGATGGCTTTAGTAATACATTTTCAGACCAACTTCACTATCACTCCCTGAAGTCAAGTTAAAAGTCCTACACAAGGGCCTGCATTTGTGGCTCAGTAGGGTAATCATTGCCTGTGATGCCAGCATCCTATATTGCAATATAGATAAGAGTCCTGGATGCTCCATTTCCGATCCAACTCCTTGCTAAGGAACCTGGGAAAGTATTAGAAGATGGTCTGAGTACTTGGACCCTGCCAACCACATGGAAGACACAGATGGAATTCCAGGTTCCTGTCTGGCCTGGCCCAGCCCTGACAGTTGCAACCATTTGGGGAGTGAACCAGTGGATGGAAGGTCTTCCAAAGAAGACTTCCAAAGAAGTCTTCCAAAGAAATAAATCTTAAAAAAAAAAAGAGACGTATAAAATGCTTCTGGAAACAGGATCTCAAATCAAAGAATGACACCCCTGCCCCTAACTCCAAAAGTTAAATAACCATTGTTCCAACTGGTCTGGAATTTTTTAATGAAACTTGGCCTTAGTTATAAACCTAAACTGCAACATCTTCTAAGCCCTTCACAAATCTAGCTTCATTCCTTTTAATTGTTCTAAGAAAAGCTTTCATAAATTAAAGGCTATTAGCTAAAATGTCACGGCTCTGGAAACAGAAAAATAAAATGAAACTAAAGTTTTGTTAATTTTCTTTTTGAATTTTAAGTGATTCAATAATATGAAAAGACTACTTATAGCACATATTAAATTATGAGGCATAACAAACAACCTGGAGCTCAATTCCAAATTTAAGGACTACAACACTAACAAAAGTGTTGCATCTACTTACCCATCCTGCCTACCTGGGTATGTATCCACAAAAATATATTATTTTGCATAACTTGTTTCTTTTGAGCTTTATAAAAATGGTATATATTGCTTTCAATCTTCTGTGCCTAGACTTTCATACTCAACATATTTCTAAAACGTACTTCTTCCATATGGCTGTCATTCATGTACTCAGTTTGACATTTTATGTATCCATTTTTTTTTTAAGATTTATTTATTTATGTATTTACACAGAGAGAAGGAGAGTCAGAGAGAAAAAGAGAGAGAGAGAGGTCTTCCATCTGCTGGTTCACTCCTAATTGAGTGCAATGGCCAGAGCTGCACTGATTCGAAGCTAGGACCCAGGAACTTCTTCCGGGTCTCCCACACAAGTGCAGGGGGCCCAAGGAATGCTTTCCCAGGCCATAGCAAAGACAGGGATCAGAAGTGAAGCAGCCGGGACTTGAATGGGTGCCCACACGGGATGCCAGCAGTACAGGCGGCGGCTTTACCAGCAACGCCACAGCGCTGGCCCCATATCCAATTTATTTCTATCAATGAATATTTGGTGGGTTTCCAAGTTTTTATTTTATTATTTATATTTTTTAAAAACTATCACTCTTATAAATTTTACATATAAGAGCTCCTCACA